AGGAATTATTTTATTCAGTGAACTTTTGTACTTTTTTCCCCCCATTTGGCCAATTCTATTTTTTAGGGAGTTGTTTTCCTCTGTAAATTTTTATCTTTTCCCATGCTATTGATTCTTTTTTTCGTGATTCTCTTGCATTACTCTCATTTATTTCCCCATTTTCCTTCTACTTTTCTAATTTGCTTTTTAAAATCCTTTTTAAGCTCTTCCAGGAATTCTTTTTGGGACTGAGTCCAAATTAGATTTTTCTTTGAGGCTTCATATGTAGCCATTTTGACACTATTGTCCTCTTCTAAGTTTATGACTTGATCCTCTCCCTATCACCATAGTAACTTTGTATAGTCAAGCTCTTTTTTTGCTCATTTTTTCTGCCTTTTTTGTGACTTGGTGTTTTTATGTGAAAGTTGTCCTCTGGTCTTGCACTGTCCCAAGCTTTTTGTGCTGGGGCTCTGCGTCTTACTTTCTGGCTTTCCCTGGGCTTCAGGGCAGGGCTTCACTAGTGGTCAGCAATAGGGTCAAACAGGTGGCTTGTGCTGGGGGTGGGGTTTCTGGGGTGGGGCCTTGCTGGCTGCAAAGACTGCTTACTTGCCTAGGGGGCAGCTGGCTGGCAGGAGGGCAGAGACTCATTGGTGGATTGCCCCAGGCTTGGAGCCTTGCTGCAGGCCCCCTATTGCTGCTGCTGCTCTTGGACCTCTCTCTTCTCTTACCCTTTCCTGCAAGGTTGGTAAATTGCTTCCCTCCCCCTAGACCAATAGTGAAGCAGTTTTCTATTTGTTTGGAGAGGAATTTAGGAGGGCTTCAAATGGTTCCTTCCTCACTCCTCCATCTTGTCACTAGATGTCCCCCACAAAAAGATTGAAATGATGTTGTAAAGGTGTTAGGAACAAGTCAATTCCTAAAGAAAAGACATGAGAAGACAACCCCTTGACCTTGGCAGAGACTCGGCAGACATAGGAGTACACAGGCCTGAGATTGTTTATAATATTAGATTTTTTCAAAATGCATTGATCAATTTTACTGGATTCTTTGTTATAAGGAGTGACTCCAGAGGGAAGTTATAGGGCAAAATCTAGGTGGTGTGAAAATAGAAGACATCATAAAATATATTATTATTATTAAAATTATGTCTACCAAATTGTGATTTGGAGTGTAGGCACCACCTCTATGTTATGGGGCACAGCAATCTTAGGATGTGCTGCAGGACTGTTTGGAGGAAAACTGGAGATTCTGTGTGTGGACGTGACTGGACTTACTGTCCCCCATAATGCAAAGGTTTCGTAGGAAAGATCAAACCATGGCCTGAGAAAGTCTGAAAGGGCAAGATCACATCTGGTTTGGGAGCCATCAGGAAAGACTTCATGGTAGGTAAGATGGAGATGAGGAGCAAGGAAGAAGGAGCATTGGTTTCCAGAGATGGCATGGGCAAAGCCAGGGAGGTGGGAAAGAGGGAATGAGCATGGTGACAGAATGAGTTTGGTCCAGTTTGGCTGGAGCTGGAGAGGAACATAAGCTAAGGCTAGAAAGGTAGATTGTGGAGAGCCTGGAAAGCCAAACTAAGGCTTGGATCTTTTTTTTGCCCTCCTTTGGCCAGTAGGGAGTTAGTGAAGATTCTTTAGCAGGGAAGGGGAGGTGAGACAGAGCTGTCCCATGAGATTATGTAAGTAGGATGGATCAGACAGGAAAGATATTGTAAGCAGGGAGAACATTTCGGAGGCAGGAATGACAGTCTATACAAAAGGGGATGAGGGGTTGGGGGGGAGGTGGTGAAGAAGGACCGGATATAAGAGATAGTGAGGAGGAAGACTCTCCCACAAGCACAGATGAGAAGTGGTTCAGATGTCATGGAGATGCCTGGGACGGCCCCTCCCTGTACCCCACATCCTGCCCATACCAACCCGTGCTCTACTCAGCTGTCAAATAGATCTTCCTAAAGCACAGGTGACTGTGGCACTCCCCTACTCAGTAAACTCCAGTGGCTCCCTATTACCTCCAAGATCAAATGTAAAATCCTCTATTTGGCTTTCAAAGCCCTTCCTACCTGTCCAGTCTTCTTATACTTTACTGTCTTCCACACGTTCTGTGACCCAGTGAAACCCATTATTGCTTGTCCTGCAAGCCACTCCATCCAGCTAGGTAGAGCAGTGCTACAGCATTGGCCCTGGAGTCAGGAGGACCTGAGTTCAAATCTGACCCCAGACATTTAGTAGCTGTGTGGCTCTGAGCAAGTCATTTAACCCCAAATTGTCTCAAAAAAAAAAGCACTCCATTTCCTGATTCCCTGCCTATCTCTCATGACTCTACCTGTCTCTCTCCACCTCCTGACTTCCCTGGCTTCCTTCAAATCTCAGCTAATGTCCTGACTTCTGCCAAGAGCCTTTCCCAGTCTTCCTTAATCTTGGCGCCTTCTCTCTGAAACTACCTTCAATTTATCCTGTCTATGTGTGCTCCCTCCACAATCATTTTACACATCTTTCCCATTAAACCATGAGCTCCTCCTTTCTTTTTATCCTTAACCCTTTAGTACAGTGCCTGGCACACAGTAGGTGCTTAATAAATGCTAATTGACTTGACCAGCCACATGCCTCTACAATCTTGGGAAAATGCTCTTGGGATGCCAGGACTGTAGGCACCTTGGCCTTTCCCTAACAGCTGTATCCCTCCTCTTCTCCCTCACCCTCACATCAGCTCAGACTCAATTCCCCAGACATTCCATCTTGACATGGCATTCAAGGTCTTCTGCAGTCTGGTACTGTCCCACTTTTTATTCATTCAACAAACATCTGTCCCAAAGACTTGAATGTTAATCAACCAATCAACCAACATTTATTAAGAGTCCCCTGTGTGCCTGGAATTTGGTTCTTGCCAGAGAAACCTAAATCCTATGACCCTGGACAAGTTACTTAGATCCTTTTATCCTCAGTCTTCTCATCTGCGAAATGAGGGGAATAATAGCATCTATCTCCCAGGTTGTTATAATGAGATAATAGGTAAAGCTCTTGGTAAACCTTAAAGTGCTATACAAATGCTTTCTATTGTTATTGTTATAGTTGCTGTGGCTGTTTGACACACCCAGGGCTAGGTACGGGAGAAGTGAAGATAAGTCTTCACATTCCCTGCCTTCAAGGACCTTACACTCTAGCCAGGGACAATAGCTTGTACAGGTAACAGACATAATCAGGGGAGGCTGGGGCCCCATCCGACCTCTCCAGCCTTCTACTTTTTCCTCCCCTTCGTATGTTGTGGTATATTCAGATTGTGAAGGGTGTTAAATATCAACCAGAGGAGCTTATGTTGGTTCCTAGAAGTAAAAGAGGATGGCATCGTCAGACCTGTGCTTTCGGAGGGTCCCTCTGGTAGATGAGTGGACGATGGATCAGAGAGGGGAAACAGAGACTTGAATCGGGGAGACACCCCCACCCCCAGGCTATTTCAATAGGCCAGGGTGGAAGGTGATGAGCACCTGTACCAGTGGAGTGGCTGTGAGAATGCAGAGGAGGATTTGAAAGATGGAAATGACAAGAATTTGACATCTAAATGGGTAAGATGTGGGGTTGATGACATAAAGATATGAGTCTGGGTGTGTGGAAGGATGATAAGAGCCCTCCACCAACAATAAGCAGTTGCAGAGAAGGGCAAGGGAGTGACTGAGTTTTGTTTGGGACCTGGTGAACTTGAGATGCTCCCAGCTGGAGATTTCCATCAGGCAGCTGGTTGTGTGGGCCTGAAGCTCAGAATAGAGACTGGCTGTATGGACTGGGAATCATCTGCAGAGAGATCATTGAACCCTTGAGAGCTGCTGAGGTCACTCAGTGTAGAGATGGAAGAGAAGAGGGACCAGGAGCACGTCACAGCTAAGGGCTGGGATATGGTAACCATCGAGCAAAGAAGGTTATTCAATGTCTAACACAAGGCCCCCAAACATACTAGATGGCTAATAACGGCTTGCAGATGGTTTCTGCAGGTACACTGCAAGGTCCTTGAGGGTAGCAATTGTCTCAGTTTTGACTTCCTACCCCCAGTCAATAAGCATTTATTAAGCACCTACTACGTTCAAGGGATACAAATGAAGGCAAAAGCGCGATTACTATGCTCAAAGGAGCTCACAGTCTAATAGGGAGACACCCCACAAAGAACTCTGCATAACCAAGACAGAGGTAGGATAAATTGGAACTGAGCAGCAGGGAGAAGGCACTAGCATTGGGGGGTTTGGACAAGGCTTCTTGGAGGCGATGGGACTTTAGCTGGGACTTGAAGGAAGCCAAGAGGCAAAGATGAGGAGGGAGCGCATTCTAGGCATGGGGGACAGCCAGAGAACGAGCTCAGAGTCCGGAGATAGAGGGTCTTCTGTCAGCAACAGGAAGGAAGTCAGCGTTACCGGTTCGCAGAGTAGGTGAGACAGCTCCCTGGCACGGGGTCTCCAGCACCTAGCCCAATGCCTGGAACATCAAAATACGTGCTTATACATAAATGTATTTCACCTGCCCCCAGGATACTCCAAGCCCAGAACTGTGAGAGTATTTAATAAATGCTTGTGGATGCGTGTTCAGACAGATTCGCGCTCCCGGCCTCCCCTCTGTGGTGTGTGTATATGTATACGTGCGTGTGCATGCGTGCTCGTATATGTATGTTTGTGTACGGGGGTGTGTGTATGTTTGTGTAAGGGTGTGTGTATGCGCACGGGCATATGTGTGTGTTTGTGTATGGTTGTATGTGTGTTGAAAAGGAGGAGCCACGTCTAGTTCACGTGGAAGAACTAGGCAGTTTACAGGGATTTTTGCTCAGAAAACACGAGCAGAGGGACACTCATTTATTCTAGGATTCTCAGTCTCCTGCTGACCTTGATCCTACGATCCTCGTCCCGGGTCTCCCGCCCCTCCCCTCTTCCTCTCCCCTCCCAATCCCCCCCCCCCGCCCCTGCCGGCTTAGCCTGGACTGGGTTCACAGCGGGTGGGGCCAGAAGAGGGCGGGACCCTGGCTTCTCAAATACCCCGCAAGTCGGTGGTGCTCCTCGCGCTAGCTGTCAGGCAGGCGTGGATGGTGATGGCAGCTGGAGTCGCTTGGGTTGTGGGTGCTTGGTGGGGTGTTTTCCTCCTCTGCCGTCGGGGCCAGGGTGAGGACCAGGTCCCGGGGCTGGATCGCTCAACCTCTGCCCACTGCGGGCCAGGAGAATTCCTGCACCAGGAGGCCAACGTCTTACGCTGCTGTAGCCTGTGCAACTCGAGTAAGAGAGGAAGGTTATGGGGAGAGGGAGGGAAAGAAGGAGAGAGGTCCCCGGGCCAGCGACTCTGAGGCTGACCTGGTGTGCCCCACCCTCGGACCGGGCTAAGGAGGGCCCTGGGGCAGGGACTCTGTTACTTGATAGTGGAAGGTCGGGCGGGGGTCATCTCTCCATTTCAGGCATTCGGAGGAGACAACGGGTCTAGGCTCTTGGGGTCGGGTGAGGTGGTCTGGGGAGAAAGCTGCACTGAGCTTCGTATCGTTCCCCTCGGCCCATGCCCTCTTTCCTCCCCAGTTCTTATTGGCCTTTCTCCTTGGCCACACTCAAGATGTACCCTGGCGTCCAGTTCTCCTCCACCCACAGCTCTAGAGCTGGACTTCATTGTATTGCTCCTTGTATTGGAGTAGGGGCTGGGATTGGAATGGAATGCTCTGGAAGGCAGGGACTGTTTTCATTCTTGGCTTCATTTCCCTGACACTGTTTGGTGCCTGCCATGTATGTAGTAGGTGCTTAATATATGCTTGTTGAATTGAATTGTCAGGGCAGTGCCAGGGATGCCTCTTCTTACAAGAAGCCTTTCCCGAGGGTCAGAGTCAGGGATGCATTGCCCTTAATCAGGGCTTGGGCTGGAGGTCACCTGGACTGCTCACTGGCCCCAGCTGCATTGGATATCACCAGGCTGGGTGTGGCAATGCCCTAAGGTGGGCCCCCACTCTGACTATGGGAAGGTGGTGGCATTTACCCAGGGTGTGGGTTGTGTAGGGAGAAGCCATTCCTTTGCTCAGGGGGAAAGGTGGCTGGTGGGGTGAGTGGGTGGGTGGGTGGTAAAGTCAGGTTGGGGATGACTTTTATCTTACCATATGAGGAATGTGTGTGCTGGCAAAGGGGAGAGGTCTAGAAATGGCAGTTCATTAGGGTGGGTAAACTCAGCGTAGATAGACAGCTCATCTCTGACTTAAGGTTTTAGAGCATTTCATGGGGGCACCAAGAGGTGAATGACTTGCCTAGGCTCACGTAGGCCAGTTTAAGATGTGTCAGAGACAACATTGAACCTAGGACCTCTTGGCTCAGGTCTCTTCCTCTCTCCACCATCCCAACTGCCTACGAGGATCGCCTAGACTGGAAATGAGGAAACCGAGAAGAGAAGGAGGAGGAGAAATGAGAGCTGAGTTCACATATTTGAAAGATCGTCACATAGAGGAGGGGTTAAGCTTGTTCAGCATGACCCCTGAGGACAGAACCAGGCGCAGTGGGGGAAAGGGGAACGGAGAAGAGACTTGTACAGGGTTAGACTCAGCCCTGATGAGAGGCAACATGCTAGAGTGGACAGTGTTAGACCTGGACTCAAATCTCACCTCAGACGCCAGCTGTGTGGCTCTAAGCAAGACACTTTCTCCTTCTAAGCCTCAGCTTCCCCATCTCTCAAATGAAGGGGTTGGGCTTCGGAGGCCCCTTCTGCTTCTCAATCTACAACCCCATGACCCAATGACTTATCACTTTGTGAGTCTGTCTGACCTGGATCACAGCTGTCTCCAAGGCTGCTGATCCCCTGCCCCTGCTCCTGGAGATGCTCCCTAACACCCTGTACTCTTGTTCCCAGGTAAGGCATGCCCATCTCATCAGCTGAGGGCCTGCACCTGTGCCATGCCTGGAGAGTTCTGCGAGGATTCTGAATGTAAAAGCTGCATGAAGCATACGTGCTCCCCCGGTCAGCAGGTCCTCATCCACGGTGAGCGCCAGAGCATGGCCACACCCCTCTCGAGGACCCAGCTCTGGTCCCATGCAGCTCAATTTGCACTCTGCTCCCATTTTCTGCTTTGGGCTTATGTGTGCTGGGCCAGCAGCTTCTGCCCACACCCATGCGTGGGAGCTCAGGGGATGCTGGAGCTGGGCAAGAGGTGATGGGCAAAACTTTTGGAAAGAAGCCAGCTAAGAATGGATACCCAAGCCAGTTTAACCCAAGTGTTCTGTGAGCATTTAGGAAGTACCTGCTGTATACTGGCACTATGCCAAGCACTAGGGATATAAAGACAGAAGTGAAATCCTCAAGGAGTTTACATTTGAGCAATTATTAAGCACCTACTGTGGGGAAAGCATATAAAGGCCCTTTACAACCTGGCTCCAACCAACCTCTCTACCTGTGTTTCTTATTATGCTCTGCCCCATTCCCTCCATTCCAGACAAACCAGTTTAACTCAAAACTCCATCCCCTAGGTTGTATCCGCACATGCTCTCTTCCATTAAGGAGGCAGTATGGTACAACAGAAAGGGCACTGTCTCTGGAGTCACAGGGCCAGGGTTCTAATCTTGCATCTGACGTATTACCTTAGGCACACTCCCGTGCCTCAGTTTCCCCTTCTGTAAAATGAGGAGGTTGGGGTAGGTGGTTTCTCAGGTCCCGTCTGGCTCTAAGTGTCTGATCCTTGATTCTGGTCTACTTTGTCTCCTGATCTCTACCTCTCAAGCTCAGTTCAGGTGAAGCCACTTCTTGGAAGTTTTCCTCGATTCTTCAGCCTCCCCATCATCACCCTCCTCTTCTTCCTCAGATTACCTTGCCTATACTTAGGAGCATAGATTTAGAGCCTTAAGGTTATAGATTCTTTGATTTAGAGTTGGAAGAGACCTTAGATTCAATTCTACAGACATTTATTAAGCTCCTTCTATGTGCAAGGTACCATGCAAATAGTGCCTGACTTTAAGGGGCTCACATTCTACTGGGAGGACATGACTCCAATTTGAGGAGCAAGAAGACAGAACAACTAGGGGGCTTGGCTAAGGCTTCCAACAGGAGGGAGACCCTGACATGAATGGATTTAAGAAGTGGAAGTAAAGGGAGGGAGTATAATCCAGGCAGGAGGGACAGCCTTTGCAAAAGTACAGTGGCAGGGGATGTAATGCTGAATTCAGGGAACAACAAATGGGCCAGTTTATCTGGAATCTAGAGAGTGTGAGGCTTTCTAGTCCTACCCCTTAATTTGACATATGAGGAAAATGAAGCCCAGGTCCTTTGAAGCAAGTCCCTTGCTCTGTAAGCACAACCAGAGTATGTTCACCCATAAGCCTTCAGTCTGGGTGGGTTTTCTGTCTCCAGTGGAGGGTAAGCCGAATGAGGGGCAAAGGAGTAAGTGGCTAGACTCCTGACTCTCAATTCAGTGCTTGCTCTTCCAATATACTACACTCCATTATACACGTTTCCTCCCCCAAAGAACAGGGACATCTCACAGAGGGGACTTCACAAATGGTTGTTGACAGAGGCACTAGGATGGGCCCCAGGGACATGAAGATAGAAAAAGAGCCCAGGTGCTGGCCTCAAGAGGCTGACAATCTAATGGGGTTTGGGGGGTGGGAGGATGGGATAAAGAAGATACATGCTTTTTTTCTGAGGGTGGGGAGAGGGATCTAGGAAGACCTCTTGGAGGAGGTGGCAGCTGAGTTAAGATTTAAAGGAGTGACCATGGGGGTGGGGGGAGAGGGGAGAGAGGAGACGGTTTCAGCTCAGGAGGATGCTGAGAATAAAATATGGGGATGGGAGAAGGCTGGTGAAGGAGAGGTGGTGAAGGGAGTGGTCCAGAAGGGCTGGAACTTGGACTAATTCAGGGGGGAGGAGTGTGATGAGGTTTGACTCTTTGGTTGAAGTCAGATTGTGGAAGCCTTGAATGCCAAGGTCAGGAAGATGCGCATTATTTGCAAGGCAATAGGGAGCCACAAAAAGACTGTGAGCAGAGCAGACACGTAGTCAGAACTGGGGGTTGAGAGGGTTCTGTGGGCACAGCACAGAGAGCGGGCTGGGCTGGGGCAAGACCAGAGGTAGGAAGACCATCCTGGGGGACTGAGCAGAAGCAGCTGGAGAGGTCAGGGGGAGATGCTGCCCTGGGGCATCTCATCAGCTCCAGGGGACTCTAGAGCACCTCTACGCAGATGGCTCCCATGTCAACCGATTTAAATGTTCCATGTCACGTACTCTCTCCATTCTAATGTTCTCCATCAACCTATTCTCATGTTCCTTATAATATACTCTAACCTTGAATATCAGTATTTTCTAATATTCTAGAGCACATTCTATATATTATATAGCAATGTATTCTAATATTCCATAGCAATATTTTCTAACATCAATATTTTCTTCTATAATAGCATATAATATTCTATTTATCTTTTAAAATAGTCCATATACTATATTCTATATATGCTAATATCCTATATCAATCTATGCTGATATTCTATATCCTATATATTCTAATATTGTATATATGCTAGTAGTGACATTATATATTCTATTTATTTTAATGTTATACACAAATCTGTTTTAATATTCCATAATGTATTCTATCCTAATATTGTGTATAATCCATTCTAATAGTCTGTATCTATATTCTATATAGTCTAATAATCTATATCAATCTATTCTTATGTCATATTCTATTTCAAGCTATTCTAATAGTCTGTATCATATATTCTATGTATTCTAATAAGCTATATCAACCTATTCTAATCTTATATTCTATATCAATCTATTCTAGTGTCTTATATTCTAATATTCTATATCATTATTCTAATAGTCTATATCATATATTGTAATAATCTATATCAACCCGTTCTAATATCTTATATTCTATATCAAGCTATTCTAATGGTCTATATCATATATTCTAATGATTGATAACAATCTATTCTGATAGTCTGTATATCACATAGTCTAGTATTTTATATTGATCTATTCTAACATTCTATGTCCCATATTCTATACATTCTAATATTCCATATCAATCTGATCTGATCTCTCTCCTGTGTCCCCTTGGAATTCCCCATCATTAGCCACTTGGATGTTCCCGAGGCGTATTCCTTTCTGTCCTTGCCTCCCCAGTGCCTGACACATGACACTTCATGAATGCTTACTGAATTCAGTTATCAAGCTCAATATGTCCAAAGGAGAACTCATTATAGTTCACTCTGGATCCATTCCTCCACCAGATTCCTTCTTTTGTTGTGTGGCACATCGTAAGTGCACTTGGTAAATGCTCATTGACTGACTGACTGACTGGCTGACTGGCTGGTGGCCCCACCTCCTTTCAGTCAGTCCCTTGTTCTCCCTTGTTCAGCCTCCTGCTGATTAGCTGCCAAATCGGGTCAGTTCTCCTACCTCAGCACCTTTTGTTTCCATCCCCTGCTTTCTGCTCACTTGGCCTCTTCCCTAGTTCTTGTCCTCACCCCTCTTCTCCCAGACTGTGGAAATACCTTCCAAATCACCATCTTTGGGTAATTTCCCTCACCAGCCTGTCTCCCACGCAGCTGCCAAATGACTATTTCTAAGAAGCAGACCTGACCATGTCACTTCTCTATTCAGAAATCTTCAGTGGAGACTCCTCACTCTGTCATTTTCATCCTACCACAATTTGGCTTCCGCCTCCTTTCCCAGAATCCTGCATTGTTTCCCTTCACACAGTCTTTGTTTCTGCCACAGTAGCTAGTCTCACAAATCATTGTGCCAACTCCCATCTCAGGGCCTTTGCATTAGCTGCACCCCCTCACCTGAAAAGCCTTCTTTCCTCCCCTCTCTCTCTTAGAATCCCCAGCTTCCGTCGTGATCCAATTCAAATGACACCTCCTATGTGGTTCATTCTCAATCCTCTTTCTCTCCTGATAATATTTTTAATTAATTTATTTTGATTTATCAGCAATCACTTCCATATGCTTTTGAGTTTAAAATTTTTCTCCCCCTCCCTCTTCACCACCATCCCGAAGACGGCACACAATCTGATGTAGGCTCTACATTTACATTCCTATTAAACATATTTTCACATTATAGTGGTATTGTAAGTGAACATTAAAACCAATAGGAGGAACCATCAGAAAGAGGAAACAAAACACAGCAGAAGAAAAAAAAGTAGCAAATAGTGTGCTTCGACCTGCATTCAAACTCCATAGTCCTTTCTTTGGATGCGGATAGCATTTTCCATCGTGAGGCCTTTGGAGATGTCTTAGATCCTTGTATTGCTGGGAAGGGCTCAGTCTATCAATATTAGTCATGGCACAATGTGGCTGTTACTGTGTACAGTGTTCTCCTGGTTCTGCTCACTTCACTCAGCATCAGACCATACAAGTCTTTCCAGGTTTTTCTGAAGTCAGCCTGTTCATCCTGATAATATTTTTTATTCATTTATCTGTACATAGTGATTCTCCCAAGTAGAATGGAAGTTCCTTAAGGGCAGGAGTTGGCTGACTTTGTATCTCTGGCAGCTAGCATAGTGTCTGGTATGGCATAATTACTTAGTGTTTATCAAATTGGATTGTGGGATGTATGGGAAACAATCAGTCAGAGGTAAATAAAAGCAATGGTGAATCCTGCGGTGATGAAGGCTCGGATGAAGGTAGATAGCATTAACTTGTAGCTGACCTCGTAGCATTAGGATGTTCTTGAAGGTCCTTCAACTACTTAGGAGTATAAGCCAGGCAGAAACAATCCAGCAATAAGTATTTATTAAGCAGCTACTGTATAATAGCACTGTGCTAGGAGGCCAAGGATACAAGGGCAAAAACCAAAGCATTTCCAGACATTAAGAAGTTTATGTTCCAACTGGAGAGACATTGATGTAAAGGTAGGAAGAAACCAAACTATATACAAAGCAAATTCAATATGATGTGGGATTTTTTTTTCGGGGGGAGTGGGCATGTGGAGAAAGGGAAGGGATAAGCCACTAGCAGCTAAGGGGATCAGATGGGCTTCTGGTGGTGTGTGAGCTGAGCTTTGGAGGCTAGATAGTCTAAGAGGCAAAGATAGGAAAGGAATCCACTCTAGGCATGGCAGAGAGCCAGTGCGAAGGTGGGAGATGGGAAACAGCAAGTAAACGGTTTGATTGGAATGTAGAGTGCGTGAGAAGTCATGGATCACAAGCCTGGAAAACTGGGTGGGAGCCAGACTGTCGGGGCCTTAAATACCCAACAGAAGTTTTGTGCTTTGTCCTTGGAGAAATGGGGAGTTACTGACATTTTGTGAATAGGAGAGTGACTCCGTCAGACCTGCCCTTTGGCAGCTGAAAGGAGGCTGAGCAGGAGAGGAGAGAGGCTAGAGACAGGGAGTCCAACAGGTGGGCTCGTCCAGTAGTCCAGGCAAGAGGGGGGAGGGGCAAGTCAGAGATCACGGACCTGATCTGCTTTGGACAATACCACGAGGCCGCTAACATGGGTAGATGGCAAGGTGGCCGTGGTTGGGGCAGTATAACCAGACGTGTTTGTATACAAGTATAAATACAGATAGAGATATGTATGCATGCATGTACATTCAAACACACACATACACATATGTACCCTTATGTGTCCACATGTGTGCAAACATGTGTACACACATATAGACACACATGTTTGCATACACCTACACACATATGTACCACAATATCTGTTATATCATGGCTACTGTGTCCTGCTTTCCCGTGGTGGTCATGGCCGTAGAGGCATGTCTTCCATTCCCTTGGACAGGCTTGCCTGGACAGAGGGGATGTGTCCTCTCCTCCAGAGTCTCTGACTCTGGCTGTGCCATCCTTCCCAACCATCTATTCCTGGTTCTGTCCCCAGGGAAGTTTGTTTTTGGCTTCACTTGCGAGGACTGTGAAGATGGCACCTATTCGGATGGCATTGATGGCAAATGTCTGCCCTGGACTGAGTAAGTTGGGGGTGAGAGATGGTAGAAGATCTCAAGAAGGCACTGTGAGTTGTAATGGCTCGGGGCTGTCCAGATCAGGCCTAGCACATACTAGAGAAAAGCTGAGGGTAACTGGCTGGACTGAGTGTCCCTAGCGGCCTTCTGCAAACTCCCTCTGGAAGTCAGCAAGCATTTATTAAGTGCCTACTATGTGCCAGGCACGTGCTGAGCACTGAGGAGATCAGAAAGACAAAAATATGGTCCCTGCCCTACGGAAGCACCCAGTCTAATGGGGGAGACAACACCGACCCACTTGACCTGTCTAGCCAGGGCAGGGAGGCTGAGGCATCAGAGACTCTCTGGCTCTTGCCCCAGCCTCTCTTGTACTGACCCCCAAAAAGGGGACTGGGGCTCCAGGCAGCTCTGGCTCAGAGCCCAGGTTCTGCTGGCTGAGGCTATTGGGGGGGGGGCTCAGAGGCTGAGGAAGCTGGAGTCCTAGAGGAGGAGGTGGGGAGTCACCTAGGTAACAGCTCCTGACCCACCAACAGAACCAGGGTTTCCAGGAGTGGGATGGCTTGGGGTTTAACCCCCCAACATCCACTTAGTCTCCTCCTCCTGTGATAGACAGCATATTAGGATTCGTGTGGGCTGGGGCAGAGGGGGTCCAGCCCAGGGCAGAGGCTGAGGGGTAGCCCTGCAGCTTTGTAGAAAACAATGCTTCCCTGTGGAAATCAGGGATAGAAACCCCCAACCTGATCTCACCAAGGCCGTAGTCTAAACAAACTTGTCTTCTGTCTCTGTGTGTTTGGGTTACACAGTTGTGCCAGGGAGGGATTTCTCACTGTCCGTCCGGGAAACAGAACCCATAATGTGCTGTGTGGCATGGCTCCACTTCCAGGAACAGGTATTTTTCTTCTTCCCCTTTCACCCCTCACTGCCGCAGGCCCATCTCCCCATGTGCACATATCAGGACTGCAGCCTCTCTGGTCTCACTCGTGCTCTGACCTGTGGTCCCCTGGGTTTGAGTAACTCAATCCAACTAGCAGTTTTTAAGCACCTACTACGTGCCAGGCGACCAAGCTGGGCGCTAGAGACACAAAATGAAATGGGCTCTGCCCTCAAGGAGCTTACATTCTCCTGGGGCTGGGGTGTGGGAATGGGGGGAGATACAGTTGCTTACAGAGAAATAAACACAAAGTATCTATAAAGTCACTTCAGAAGGGTGCCAACTACCTTGGGGAGGCATGGAAGGCTTTCTGTAGGATGCTGCACCTGAGTTGTGCAATGAAAGACGCTGAGTATTCTATCAAAAGGCAGGGTGAGGAGGGTGAGCATTCTGGGCGTGGGGAACCGTCAGTACCAAAGGCACGGAGGCGGAGCCAGCAAGCCAGTTTGATTGGAACAGAGAGAGTGGAGGGGAGTCCCGCGAAAGGCAGATGGGAGCCAGATTGGGGAGGGTTTTCAATGTCAGGTTGAGAGAGGCTGGCTTTTATCCTGAGGCAGAAGAGCAATTTTTTGTTGTTGTTTAATAGGAGAATGACACTTTCGCAACTAGCAACATTATTGGTGTAATAGATAGACAGCTGGCCAAGGGCCAACCCAGGGCCAAGAAGGTCTGGGTTCAAGTACAGCCAACGATACATATTGGCTTTGAGACTCTGGGCCAATTGCTTAACCTCTCAGCGACCTAGGCAATTAATTCTCTAAGACTGAGTAGCAGAGGTGTTGACCTGCACTGGTAGATAGCGTTTCCTCACCTGGGAGTTTCCTAAATCAGTGAAGTCTCAAGTTCAGTCCTTGTGCCTAATCTGGGTGCAGGGGAGGGTGGGCACTCAATCTCGGGTGTCTCTTTCTGTTGTACCCCTCCCCCCCAAAACTTAGAGAGTCTCATGAGCACTGTTCCTGCAGGCCTCTCCAATTCCTACAGCATGCCCTTGGCCATCCTGACAGGCTTAGCTACGATTACCTTTGTGCTTGTCATTATCCAGCTGGCCCTCCACATCTTGTGGGTGAAAAAGGAACCCTTCACCAAGGACAGAGGTCAGTTCTACTGGAGATGGGGAGAAGGGTGGTGCCTCAACTGTCCCCCAAACTGCCAGGGGAGGGTACTGCCCTTCAGCCAAGTCCCTTCCCAATTCCCACCTCAATTGTGGGCTGGGCTGTGGGCCTAGGGAGAAGCCCCAGAGGCCAGTGCCTCCCCCCACCCTACCCAGAAACCCCAACAGCCTGGAATTTGGATAATCATTCCAGGCCTTTTCCTTCCCCTGACCTCCAGGAGGTAAAGTGCTCCCCCCCACCAGTTCATCCCTGGTCAGGGCAAGCCTCACAGCAGCACTGACCCCAGAACTCACCTTTCCTGCTTTCTCCAGAGGCCATCTTGCCCCTGGGGCCTGGACCCCCTGATGATATTTGCAACTGCCCTTTCCCAGAGGAGGAGTGGGGGGAGAAGACAGCAGAGGACAAGGCCCAGATGGGTCATCCGTGGGTATAAAGGAGCTCCCCTGACTCTCAAGCCTGCCACGGTACCTGGAACTTTGAAGGGGATACCCCAGAGACACAAGTAGAGAGGCCAGCTTCCTGTATCTCGGTCCCTTCTTCCCTCCTACCTGAAGCTGCAGCTTGTTCTGCCTGAGGACTGAGTCAGAGCACCCCAACTAAGATCCCTTAGAATGTGAGATGGTTGAAAGGCCAAGTGGAAACCAAGCCATTACCCCAGATCTGGGCCCAAGCCTGGAGCTTCACAAAGGCAGCATCAGGATCGGGGGGATAACACTCCAATTCAGACCCTGGTACTCAAGAAGAGGAGAAGGAGGAGGAGGAAGGGGAGAGCCAGCCCTCTGGCAACTTAGACTGTGAATATATCCACTGATATTTCTTTTCCTACCTCTGGACCTTTGTCTAGGCTGTTCCCCCATGCCTGGAATGTTCTTCCACCTTTTAGAATCCCTTTTATTGTTGTTTTTAATCAATTAGTCACGTCCAAATCTTTGTGATCCCATGGGGAGGGGCGTTTCTTGGCAAAGATACTGGAGTGATTTGCCATTTCCTTCTCCAGCTCTTTTTACAGATGAGGAAACTGAGGCATTCAGGGTTAAATGGCTTGCCTAGGGTCACACAGCTAGTAAGTGTCTGAGGCCAGATTTGTACTCAGGTCCCCCTGACTCCAGGGTGGCCACCTACTTGCCTTCAAAACACAGAGCATTGGACCACGGGAGCGAGGAGGAGGTTGTCCGGGCGTTCTATTAAGAAATTGAATGATCTCTAGCCCCAGTTCTTCATCTTTTCGTTGGCCTTGGCATGTAGCTGAGTTAAATTTCCACTTGCCTGAGGAGCAGTTGAATTTGGAATATTTGTGGACCTGTGGCCAGGCAGCTAAGTGGGATAGTCCGAGAGATCTAAGTTCAAATCCTGTCTCTGACACTTGTTGTATGACCCTGAACAAGTCATTTCACCTTTTTCAGGCTTAGTTTTCCCATCTGTAAAATGCAGATAATAACACCTACCTCGCAAGGTTATTGTGAGGATTGGATGAGATGATCTATGTACAAAGATGCTGCAGACCATGAATAGCTGTATATATGCTTATATAGTTATTATCAGTAGGTGTCCTGTTATCACGATGTTCAGTTTCTCCTTTGTCAGTTTCAGCAGCACAAGCTTCCCTTCAGGTAAGGGAAATCTCTTCCCCAGGGCTGCTCTGTGGGTGCCTGGAGTGCCCCCAGGCTGCTCCCTTTCTCTCTTTTACGTCATGGGCAAACTTCCCTTTGACAAGGGAGAAGAGCCCCTGAACCCAACCCTTAGCTGTCCTCCCCTTCCTCTGAGCTCCTTCGCTTAGAATAATATTCATTCATTCATAGAGCACTTGACAGTTTGTGCTTTCTCCTCTCGTCCTCTTAGCGCTGGTAGTTTGGGGTTGGCTTTCTGCCCCCCCTTTCCTCCATTGGGCCTGATTTCCTCAATGTAGGGGCCTCCCAGAGTGAGGAAACTCCCTCTGCCAAGGTAGGTTGTGACCTCTGCCACTTATGGTCGGGTTACACAGCCAAGATTTGTCAGGGGTGAGACTCAAACCCTAATCTTCTTGGCTCCAAGGCTGGGTTATTGTGCCCTGTGCCGTGCTGCCTCTGCAGGCATGCTTACCGAATTTTATAGCTAAGGAGCCTGAGTTTCAGCAAGGAAGGGGGAAGGTGCCTAGCGAGTGTTGCGGAAGCAGCATTCAAACACAGATCCTGCCCAACTTGAAGCCCTGCACTCTTTCCGCAACTTGATAGGATCGCTTTTCTGTTCTTCTTTGTTCCATTTGGAATCTTTACTTCTTCCAAGCCCTCACTGCTCAGGTGACAGGTCCTCCACGGAAACTTATCTGTCATCAGTCGGACTAGCCAGGCTCCACTTGGGGTTCTGAGCCCCTAGAGAGCTGACAGTTCTTTGTTGTTTCTGCCTCCCTAACATTCCTCTCAGGAGTCTCCCCCCACTCACGTGGACATGCCTCGTATTCAGACCCTCACTACCCTTCATGGGACTACCATGATGGCCCATAGGTCCATCAAAACCAACATGGCCAGAACAACTTGTATTTCTTGCTTCAAGCCTCAAGAAAGGCAATTTGGGAGAATAGAAAGAATGCTGTCTTTGGAGTCAAAGGCTTTGGTGCAAATCCTGACTCTTCTATTTACAATAGGTGACTTTGGGCACTTCTCTGAGCCTCAGGTTCCTACCTGTAGAATGGGCTAGCTGATGCATGGGAAAGAATGTTGGGTTTGGAGTCAAAACACCTGGGTTTTGAATCCTGCTTCTGTTTCTTACTACCCCTGTCACCATCAGCAAGTTACTTGGCCTCTTTGGGCCTCAGTTTCCCCATCTGTAAAAAGAGGGGATTGGACTAGGGGATTGGCCACAGTTGCCAAAGGTCTGACTGTGCTACTCACTTTCCTGGTCAGTAAACTCCCGGGGTTTCCCATTGTCATTAGGATCATAGATCAATCACTCTTTTGGGCTTTTAACGGCCCCATGACGTGGCCCTAACCCCCCTTCTCACACTGTATGGTGAGGCCAAATTGACCCATCTGCTCTTCCTCCCACGTCACACCTCATCTCCCCTCTCCAGGTGTTTACACTGACAGTACCCTCTGCCTATAGTGCACTCCCTCCTCCTCCTCTCTGCCTCTTCCAACCCCTCATTTCTTTCAAAATTTCACTCAAGCGCTGCCTTGTACAGGAACCCCTTCCTGATCCCTTCAGTTCCTAGTGGCCCCCATCCAAATGATCTTGTATTTATTTTGTTTATATTTCTAGGTGTGTTTTTTGTCTCTCAGATAGAATAGAACCTCCTTGAGGCCAAGCATGAATTCGTTTTTGTACCTGTATCCCTAGCACCAAAGCCAGTGTAAATAATAAATGCTCGTTGTCTAACTGATTGATAAACTTCTCTCTGGCACTTGCCATATTGTCTTCCTTACTGCCTGATAGAGTAGAATCTCGGCTCTGCCACTGGGTGTGATCTCGGGCCATTTGCTTCTACTCCCCAGGCCTCAGTTTCCCCCACTGTAGGTAAAATTAAGGGATCGGACCTGATGTTGGTCTCTGAGCTCCCTTCCAGCTATAGGTCTAGGGTCCTCTGGCCTCTGGCCTTGGGGGTTCCCAGAACCTGGGTCCAGGCCCTGAGCCCTCATTCTTCTCTCTTCCCAACCCAAGGGGTGGGAAGAGAACACAGAGACCCAGAGTTACTGTGCCCTGGAGCCCAGGACCCAAGTCCTGCTTTGAAGTCCCCCACTCCAGGCTCTATATTTCTTCCACCTGAGGGACAGCTCCCCATGACACCATTTGGAAGAATTTGAGCCAAAGACCGGGGGCACGAATGTATGATATCACTGGGGAGGGGTGGAATTGAGGTGGGTGGTGGCAAGCAGGAACTTGCTTGAAGAGGGAAGGGATTTGTTTTCCAGGTCCGGGTTGGTACCTCTGTAGGCCTAGAAGGAGAATGGAGGATGGGAAAAAGGCTGGTGTGAAGGAAGGAGTCTTGTGATTGAGAGTGAGACAATTTCTGCCTTTAGGGAGCTCTCAGTTTGAGGGAGGGGTAGATGTGACCTCTGCCCCCAGGGAACTCCTAGTTAGAGGTGGGGAGACTTGGCTGTGCCCTTACAGAGGGTAGTGATGAGGAGAGCATAATGCCAGGGTGTAGGGAGTTCCCGTAATAAGAAAGAATTTCTTTGTGGGGGTGATGCGCAGGGAGGTCCCTGGTCTGGGAGACACGCCCTGTGAGGGGGAATCTCCTTCTCAGCTGCAGGCCTGGCCTCACTTGAAACACCCTAGCATGGGCAGGACCTTGCCCTGGGTGTGGCCCCACAGCTAGAGGTAGAGATCTACAGTGGTACCTGGGGACTTTTTAAATACCCGTGATGATTTCTCCTGAACCTTACCTTGACATCAGACTGAGTTTCAAGTCTCCCAGCCTCTGAGATGGGGTGGTGGGAGGGGGGTGGCCACAGGAGGTGAGCGGAAGCTCTTGTGGTTGCTCTCAATGTGCTGACGCCAGGAGTAAGGCCCTGGGGGGCCCCCCTTCCTTCCCCAGACGAGCTGTGGTCAGGGCCGGCCTCCTGATGAGACACCTGGGAATTTTGCTGTTAACTCATATAGGGCATGGGTGTGGTGAAGTTTCCAGGAAGTCTGATGGAACCCAGAAATGGTCATTTGGGGGCAGGAAAGCTGGGGACCCTCATCACCCACTCTTGGAACTCACAGAGAGCCCTTGGCTGGACAAAAAGACCAGCTCAGGAAACTGCCTCCCCCCACCACCTTGCCATTGGGATGAAATGGTGAGGTTAGGGAGACAGGGTGGTCAGCTTGGATGGGTGTTTCTATTTACCATCACCCAGAGTGTGACAAATAAATGTTTTTTTTTTAATAACTTAAATACAGAGAAACTGGCAGGAGACCAAGTCAGTGTAGGTGAGTGGAAGCCCTTTGGGGGACTGCTTTAATGAGTAGCTAAGACTGGCTTGGTGGTATTCATCCATCCATCAATTCATTAACAAGCGTTTATT